CAATCCCCTATAAAGCATTCATCCATTCTTGACAATCAAAACAGTAACCCCAATGAAGACAAAATAAATTAAAATCAGCAGACATGTACATAAAGAGAGAAAAAAGCAGCAAACTTAAAAACCCAAATAGTCAAGCAGTCTAGCTAAAATATGCTGCCACGGCGGGTGTGTCTTACCTCTGATGACACAGATCACTGCCGACAAGGACAAATCAACTTTTTTAACCTGAGTGGTTGACATGTTATATTTGACTTTCAAATGTGCATCTTATACTCTGTCAAAGTTTCAGGTCTCACTTTTACAGATCCCTCAGGCACATTTTTTGAATACCTGGAGCTTCATATTTAACGTACATTCACAGGGACGCTAGCTCAATGCTAAACACCCGAAAGCTTGAGTGAGATAATGAAGGATAGGGTAATGGTTACTAAGCAGTGATTGGAGTAGAAAAATTAAGTATCATTATCATGAAAGATGTGGAGAGCACCAGGCTATAATGCATAATTACACTGTGTTCTAACAGCAAACTGGAATTTAATCATAGGATTGTATCTTGTTGCAAGGCCTGCAGGATGTCTACACCGCAAACGTCAAGTGTGCGTTAGGTGAAAATGTAAAACAAACCACAGACCTATCAAAAGATAGCTGCTTTGGGGCTGTGGTTTGGGGTATGTATTTATTAGAGTTTTTAACAGGTTACATTTTATCCCCACATTTAACATCATTAGTCTAAATTACATAGTTAAATTAGCATTATACCGTGGTAGGCAGATCTGTTATGTTAATGTGTATCTATTTAGCTAAGCTAACTAGCACTGGCAGTTTCTCTCCAGATTGTTTACTGGAAGGGTTGTAGAAAAAACATTGCACTCAGCTCCTCATATAATCCTCAGTGATTATACGGTTATAATGGAACTTTTTTGGTTTTCTTGTTCTTACTTGCATTGCTTGCTGTTGGGACATGATGTTAGTTTGTTGCTGCTGTGCCGCTAGTAATGTTCCCATGGCGAGTCCACAGCTGTTCACATTTCCTCACAGTTACTCGCCGGGCCCTCTAGTGGCTTGAGCCCCTGGGCCTGCACCCATATGCGCCACTGTATGATCCAGGCCTGCTGCTACCTTCTCAGCCACTCCCAGCTTTCAGAAAACAAACAGAGATAGCAGGCACTTTTTCCAGTAATTCTGCCTCTCTGGCTTCTCTTTCCTTTTTATGTTTTCTTGTCATTAATTCACTTCGTGTTAGTTTATGGTTGTCTGTGCTTTTTAATTTCTGACAGTTCAAACATGTCGTCCATTTATTTCAAATTAAAAAATGGTTGTAACCAAATGCTCATTTGTAACATGGCTCATCTGTGTAGTTTTGTCCAGCTATCATTACCATTCTTTTTTTTTTGTATATCTATATGTCTGTGATTTATCTACCCATCTAGTGTTCTTTACTGCAAACCCAGTTCCAAAAGAATTGGTCAGTAGGTAAAATGCAAATAAAAACAGAAAGCAGTCATTTGTAAATCCTGTTTCACCTGTATTTAGACAAAAACAGTACAGAGACAAGATAATTAAAGTTTCACTTTATCAACTTAATTGTTCTTCTTTTGTAAATATATGTTCTGAAATCGATACCTGCAGCATGTTCCAAAAAAGTTGGGGCAGGGCACTTTAAGACTAGGAACATTTGTTAAATGTTCAGAAAACATTTTTAAAGAGGTGGTGTAATCATGCTTGGGTATAAAAAGAGCATCCAGGAAACATCTCGTCCTTTATGAGCGAGACAAGGCCGATGCTCACCACTTTGCCAAAAAATGCATCAGCAAATAGTCTCTCAAACTACATTCCTCAATTAGCACTAGCAGGCATTTCAGGTATTTCACCCTCTATGGTGCATAATCAATACATTCAGGGAATCTAGAAAATTCTTTTGCATAAAAAATCAAAGCCAAAAACCACAACTGAATACCTGTGACCATCGAACCCTCAGATGCTACTGCATTAAAAACTGGCATGAATTTGTGATGGATATCATCGCATAAGTTTAAAACACTTGTAAAAAAAACGTTGTCAGTAAACACTCATCACTGCGTCCACAAATGCAAGTTAAAACTGTGGAAGCCATATGTCAAAAATGTCCACAAATGCTACTCTGGGCTTGAGCTCATCTGAAATGGACTGATACACAGTGGAAATATGTATTGTGGACTGAAGAGTCAACCTTTCAGATTGTTTATGGAAATAATGGATGTTGTTCTCTGGGCCAGAGGTGAAGGACCATATTGATTGATACCTGAGTAAAGTTCAAAAGCCAAGATCTCTAAGTAAAGGGTGTATTAGTCTGCAACAATAATGGGTTAGTTAACTTAGCTGGATACAGAAATGTTAGCTTGAATAATTTATTTGCTGTCATGATTTAGGTGACTGACAAAATGAAAAAAACTACAAACCTTACATAAAGCCAATCAGGATGTTCTCTCGGGCAACACCCTAGCAATGACCCAAAATACTATAGCTACTACTAAGAAATACCTTAGCAACCACCTTAGCAACACTTTAGCAAATGCCCCAGCAATAATCTTGCAGTCAACCTCTAACGGCCTAGCCCTAACTACTACTTGGAATACCATAGCAGTTGCTTAGCAGCCCCTTAGCAACTGCCTGGAATTACATAACAACCACCTTAGATACTGCTCAACCACACCCTAGTAACCCTAACTCAAACCTAGCAATAACAGCAACAACTTAGCTACCACTTAACAACAGCCTAGCAACGACCTAGCAACCACTTGGAACACCGTGGCAACTGCACAGTATAACCATAGCAACCACGCAAGCAGCCAAAAACAACAAACAAAAATATCAGATTGTAACCCAACCAGAGAGTTAAAATTAACCTAGTGCTGAGTCAATGTAACCATATTTTTTCAACTCAGCATTTTTTGGCATTGTAAACACTGTAGTGTTATTCCTGTTATTACAGTGCTTGCCACGGAAAAATATTATCCTAAAATAATATTTCTGAGCAATTAATCAGAAAATATCTTATTTTTTTTACCATGTGCGCACTGTATTTCCTTTAGAAAATACAAAACTAGTTCTTATTAGAGTGCTTGCTGGGTGAGCGCTGTATTTTATTCAAGAAATGCAAATCTTAACGTACAAACTCTGTTTAAACTTTGGTTTGTCAAGACAATGACTTGCAAAAGTATTAGAGTAATCTGTGTTACAAATAACACAGATTATTTCCGGCCAGTATTTTTTTGCTAACCAAAATGCCCCTAACCTACATTTTCACAGTCAAAATTTATTATTTGCTATCAGATCTTTAAAATAATAAAAAAATGAAAAATGCTGCTTGCATAACTATTTATATCTTCAGACTAGTACTTGGTAAAACCATGTTTTGACCAGCATTGAACTTCACCTTCATGAACTGACCCTCCTGATGATGCTGCTGCTGTTGCTGCTGCTGCATGAACTCAAACTATCTAATTAACCATTGCTCCACATGTTTTTCCCTGTTTTGTATTCTAATATTTTATACTATAGCTGTTTGCTATCCGGTGTCGACCAGAGTCTTGGTTCCTCTCAATGTTTCTTCCTCTTGCTCTTAGGGAGTTTTTCCTTGCCACTGTCACCATTGGCTTGCTCATGGGGGCTTGGACCCAGATTTTTCTGTAAAGCTGCTTTGTGACAACGCCTGTTGTAAAAAGAGCTATATAAATAAACTTTGACTTGACTTTTCTGCAGTAACAGCTTTAAGTCTGTTGGGGGAAGTTTCTGTAAGTTTCTGCAGTTTGGGAGGGATTTTACCTGTTCTTCCTGGCAGATTTGCTCCAGGTTGTTCAGGTTTGTTGGTTTGGCACCTGTGGACTGCAATTTTCAAACAGTGCCAGAGATTCTTGATTGCACTGACATCTGGATTTTGAGTTGGCCATTGTAGAACATCGATCTTTTTGTTGTTTAACCAGACTGAAGCAGGTTGTCTTGCAGTATCTCCATCTGTCCTTCAGTTTTAACCACATGCCTCAGTCCCTGCTTTGGAAAAGCATTCCAACAACAGGATGCTGCTGTCTCCATACTTTAGAGGTGTTTCTTTAACAATGCACAATGTTAAATTGGTGCCAAACATGAACTGTGGCCAAAAAGCTCCAATTTTGTTACATATGACCGCAAAACCTTACCCCAGCTTAAAAAACTTATTTTTCACATGACGTCTGTGTTCCACGACAGAGGGGCCATGCTAATCTTCTCTGTATCGATCCGATTTTAGCATATGTGCTGCCATAGCTAGGCGTCCTGTGTCCTGTGGAATCAAATGAATCAAAATTGAAATTCTTTTTGGAAATCATGGACACTGCATCCTCCATGCTAAAGACCTCCCAGCTTCCCAGTTCCAAAGCCGGCATCCATGATGGTATGGTGGAGCATTAGTGCACATGGCATGGGTAACTTGCACATCTGTGAAGGCACCATTAATGCTGAACGAAATATACAGGCTTTGGCAACATATGCTGCCATCCAAACAGTGTCTTTTTCAAAGAAGGTCTTGCATATTTCAGCAAGACAAGGCTAAACTACACTAGCATCCACCACAACAGCATGGCTTTGCAGAAGAAGAGCCCGGGTGCTGAACAGACCTGCCTGTAGTCTAGACCTTTCACCAATAGGAAACATTTGGCGCATCATGAAATGAAAAATCTGGCAAAGTACACCCAGGACTGTTGAGCAGTTAGAATCCTACATCAGACAAGAATGGGACAATATTTCTCTCCCAAAACTCCAGCAATTGGTCTCCTTTCTTCCCAGACGTTTACAGGCTGTGGTTAAGAGAAGAGGGGATGCTACACGATGGTAGACATGGCCCAGTCCCAACTTTGCTGCCATCAAGTTCTAAATGAGTTAATATTTTTCATGAAATGGTAAAATATGTGAATAAAATATGGGTCTATGAGATTTGCAAATCATCATATTCTGTTTTTATTAACATTTATTTACATTTTACACAGCTTCCCAACTTTTTTGGAATTGGGGTTGTACCATGAACTTCAATGATATGAGGATAAGAGTTTAAACATTTTAAGGTAAGGTTAATGGTTTAAGAATTGATTTTTTTCTTTTGCTACTGTAAACACGTTTCTGCAATAATCAAAAAACAAAACATACAAAAAAATTGAGTGAATGTTCCTTTGGTAATATCACACAAAAACCATAAGATTCCAGCAGGCTGTTTCTTGAGGAAACTTGTTATATTACTTGTTATATTCTTGTTATATTTTACATTAAGGAGTGCTGTGGTAATGCTCTGTTGTAATTTTCCGTTTGGCAGCACCACAGGAATACCACATTCATACCACAGGACTTTTTGTAATGGACCACTCTTTGGTCTCAACTGAACTGTCTTAAGACATAACATCTCTATGTCTTAAGACAAAGTGTCTTAAATGTCTTAAGTCATGCCTCATCTTCAAGACACACAAAATAATTACTTCTTTGTCTTAAGATGTTCACTTTCATGTCCAAGATGAAGACGGTGTCTTCACTCATACGTCTTAAGACGTTCTTGAGATGTCTTAATGTAAGAAAATGTTGTCTAAGACATCTTGTCTAATACTGTCAAGTTTTCATCTTAGTGTCATCTTAAGACACAATGACAGCTGGGTATGAAATACACTACACAGTGCGCAGTCTCCACAATATAATGGATTATATCCTGCATTTCTATTCACAGAAACAGGTATCCTCAGAGAAGACTGGGAGCTTCACACCACACTGTACTGACTGATGTCCCTCATGTGTTTGTTTCGATCAGAAACCTTAAAAGGCTAATGCACATCTTCATATTTGGCAGTGTGAACCAATTTGTACATTGGCCTACAAATGGGACAACTGCTAAAATACTATAGGATTCAGTAGACCAGTCTGCTTACCTCTCATCTTTAGAAAAGAAAACATCATTTTTTCTGCAGGAGCACGTGTGCCAGTGTTTCTTCTGAACAGTAGTTCTCCTTTAAAGTCCTCTTGAGGGCAGGGTCAGTTGACGAGAGGGCTCACGGAAATATCTGACTGTGTATGTGTCCTGCCTTCAAATTCACTTGGTTCTAAATATTACCAAGTGATTATGTAATTACTGTCTGTTAGATAATGAATGAGGTGTTGCTGTTCTTCATTAGGAGCTATGAATCAGGAACAATATAAAGTGAAACACATGGTAACTCATTATTAATGAACTAGGAGTTAATGATGATCAAGACAAGTATAAAGTGAAACACATATTAACTCATTATTAATGAACTAGGAGTTAATGGTGATAAGGAATAGTATTATAAAGTGAAACAAATAGTAACTCATCATTAATGAACTAGGAGTAATGATAATCAGGACCAGTATAATAAAGTGATATACATAAAAAAATAAAACCCCTAAAGAAATGATGTACTGCAGAACAAAAAATTATTAATAAAGAAATGTGAGTAAGTAAGTAAGAGTAAATAAGTAAATAATTTCAGTGTTGAGGTATGGTATCTGTTTTTCATGTCTGTTTTTAAATATTTAGTTAAATGGTAGATACGTGTTCTCATAGACTTATCATAGGAACTGATTGGCTGTGCTTTAAAGTGACTTCTACTGCACAGCGGCCTCTCCCGTTCAGACTTTTTAAGTCTTTTCAACCTTCTTTCTCCTGATTTTTATTGTTCAGCACTTTTTTATTTCTTCTTTTTTTCTTCCTCACTTCTCTTTTTTACTTTAGCACTCCTTTTCTTTTTTTTTCACCTCATCTCTGTTTTCCATACTTCAGCACCCCATACTGTTCTTTAACACATTTAGAAACTTTGAATATTTGAAATAATAACCTATTTTTATAAATTTTACGGCAGAATTTGTAGATCCCTTGTGTCTTTCATTATTTTATCTTTGTATTTAAAGATTATTTCAGTAATTTTTCATCTTTTTATCTGTTTATCTATTTCAGCTATTTAATTTTTTTTCATTTGTTCATTTTCCCCTTTTCACCTTGCATTTGCTTTTATGTCTTTTTTTTTTGCCTATTTTCCTTTTTCTCTTTTTCTTTCTTTTTGTATGTTTGTTACTTTCTTGTTTATGTTTCTTTTCTTTGTTCTTTTCTTTTTCTCTTTTTGTTTATTACCTTTCTTTTTGTCTGTTTTCTTTCTTTCTTTTTAGCATACATTTTTTCTTGCCTTTTTAGTTAGGAACTGCACTGTAATGAAAACTCAAGGACTTTGTCCTGATCAAAAACTTATTTAATCAATTAATTTGTAAAATACAATTCATGCTTACTTGCACAAACTGCACTGCTCTGACTGAATTCATTGTTTAATTGTGTTATATGCAATGCACAATGGAAAAACAGTCTTCAAAATTAATAACAGGCTACAACATGATTTGTATTGTTTTGAACGATTTCATGAGCATTTAATGAGCATTTCAGTCATATATGGCCATTTTTAGTACTTATTAAACACTGATAAGCAAGTAAATCAACTATTGTATAGGCGACTTTTGTCATTATGTGCACTTGCTGTAATAAAAATGGCATGTTTATTTAATACCCTCACATTGTAGATTTCAGGCATATTTTAATTTTTAAGCAGCTACAAAATTATATATATATATATATATATATATATATATATATATATATATATATATGCGTGCGTGTGTGTGTACGTGTGTGTGTGTGTGTGTAATATATATATGTATATATATATATATATATATATATATATATATATATATATATATATATATATATATAAATGAACAAAGCTCATAATACATGGGAAAGCACATCATAGTGTTTTTTTCTGAAGATCTTTTGCCCTTTTGTCCACTAATAACAGTTTTTGTGATTATATTCAGATGGATGCTGGTGCCTTTTATCGCTCTGACTTCTACATTGGTTTGTCACTCGCCATCATCTCAAGTTTCTTCATTGGTGGAAGCTTTATTTTGAAAAAGAAAGGACTCTTAAGACTTGCAAGCAAGGGTTCCATGAGAGCAGGTATGTCAATGTGACTAATGCATGACAGCTTAGCATTTCAATTTCGATAAGATCTGCTGCTTTATATAGTAGATTAATACTGGATAATACTGATTGTTATTATGGATTTTGTAAATTGTTACAGAGTTATTTGTCCACATTAACAGGTCAAGGTGGATATGCATACCTGAAAGAATGGTTGTGGTGGGCCGGTCTCATATCAAGTATGATGTAATTGTTTGCTTACAAGAATCATTCTGGAGAGAGAAAGCAATTATTCTGAAGTGTGAACAGACTGAAGCAGAGTCATTTCAAGAGTTTTTTTTAACAATGTCCTGAAAAATTACATATTTTTTATGATGATAATTATAATGAAACAATGTGGAATTTCCACATTGTTTCATTATAATTATCATCATGAATAACTTACAAAGGTCCATTCACTTTGTTGAAATTACTTGTGAGTGATAGTGGTCTCAAAGATATTTTTTCTCCACTTCCTGACTAGCATTAAACTCGTGTTTGTCTTCATTATGTGTTCTTAGTGGGAGTAGGTGAAGCAGCAAATTTTGCAGCATATGCCTTTGCACCTGCCACGTTAGTGACACCTTTGGGAGCAATGAGTGTTTTAGTAAGGTAAGTCTATACATTGACAGAATACAACAAAGGTGAGTACAACCTTGTTCAGTATCACTAAAATATCAAATGACTTAAAATACTAGTTTATTCAAATAACATACATTTTACATTATACATTTTAAAATATTATATTTGAAAAATCAGGTTAGACTGCATTGCAGAAAGTTAGTGAAGCAAAAGTGAGTACACATGTTATGTAATTTCCAATGAAGGCTAATTATTCAATCCCTGTGTCAGCCATTAGCCAAAATACTTTTATGGATGCTTGACTGTTTGGTTGCTAGACAAAACCAGCTACAATTTTTTATTAAATTTGGTGTCTTATGGGCTGTGTGTTATCCATCATGGATCCACAGAGCAAGGAATTGTCTGAAAAAGTAAGAAACCAGATAATAACACTTCACAAATATGAAAAAGGGTTCAAGAACATTGGTAAACTAACACAAGCCAAAACAGCTTATAGCAGTTATAAGGAAGTATCAGAAGAGCAACACTACCAGTGACCAAAAGCAAAGGGGCTGTCCTTGAAAGTCTGCTATTTACACAGGGCTGGCTCAGGGTTCCTGAAGCAGATTTCTTTTTTGAGGCCCTTCAACTTGTTTGTTGATACACTGTAAAATTAAAAACTAACTAAAAACAATGACGTCTAAAGCTGTCTAAAATATGTAAATTTATAACAGTCTAATTTGTGTTTTGCTCATTGGTTGTTCGTTTGGGGTTCTAGTTACAGTTTAAATTACAGATAACCTTCACAGCCTTTTGGATCCTGGAGTCTGTTCCTGCTCACCCAGCTAACTTTAAGCATAGTTCAGTCTAACTGGTAGACGTTGAGACAGCATAGATTTTATATCATTATAAATGGTTAATTTACTACATATTAAGGTATTATAATTTCTTTTTCCTTCTTTGGTGACTTTTTCTCATGTTTCCCATGACTGGCTGTTCCTCATAAACACCACACTTTCATTCAAGGCCATGCAGAGACCCTTAAAACGGCAGGGACACATGGATCAAAATGATAAAACACCAACTACAGCATCAGTCTTTAACTGTAGCAATATCTCATCATATTACACCATTAGATTGTGATAAAAGCCAATGTCTTACTTTAATTATTTTAAGATACCATCAGTCAGCCTTGTATTTTAAATAATATTACTGTTAAGTAAAAATATTGTAATATTTTTATAGTCAGTAGTGATTGCAGCCTTTCACAGGAACAATGTATAATTCTGACAATTAATCTTGATACTTGTAGCAGCTGACAGTCAAAATGCGGTTAAACAGGAATAACAGGGTTATTTCTAAAATGGATGACAGCAAAATTAAGAGAAAAGCTACATAAAATAAAGTTAAAAGGCCATCAGCTCTCCCTGCTGGCGTGAGCTTTATCAGCTAATTTACTTCATGTACTCAATTAATCCAAACATGAGTTTAGTTCTTGGAAATTATTAGAATACAGCATCCATCAGGCATCAGGCAAGTGCAGTTAAACATGTAGAAATCATTAATGATGATGTATCATTTCAGTGTCATTCTTGCGTTAAATCATTAATCAGCAAGGGGCAGAGGGGCTCCAATGCCCATAAGACAACATAATAGTACAGTAATAATTCAGAAGTTGTTAGGGGGGGCCCTGATGGAGCCCTAACCAGCTGCTTATGCCGCTGATTAGGTTGACCCAGCACTGTACTCAATTTTACACTGAAAAACAGATGGGCCAGTGCTTCTAGTTTAGCTTTAGATTTATTTTCAAAAATCGGCCTCTCAGTGTGTGCCCACACAGTGCACCTCTATGGGCCAAGACCAGTGATCACAGTGACAATCAGTGGTGGAAAGAGTACTGAAAATGCCTACTTAAAACGCACTTAAAAAAGAAAAAACAAAAAAAGAGAAGAAAAAAAGTATGTTAAAAGAAGAAAAGAAAAAAGTATATTTCTAACTGTTTTGATACTGTTACAAAACCTTATTTCTCTGTATGAGCCATTACTGTGTAATTGATTGGTCGAGCCTGTGATCGATGTGTGATTGGTTCGGGCTGAGCGCGGGAACCTAGAGAATAGACCACTGTAGTCGTGCGTCATTCTGTAGTCCTCGTTATGCCCATATTAGGAACTCCGGGTCTAAGCTCCATTTCTCTATAGCCAGAATGAATAGGGTTTTCGAAAAAACGCCTCTATCGCCCCATGTGTTAAATAAAAATGTTCAGAACCTGATACGTTTTGTCCTGTGTACATTTTCTCCCGAATACCACTGGATCCTCTAAATTACCAGGTCGTTAAGAGCTATAATACTAATATTGCTACATTTGAGCTAAAGCTACTGCGCATCAATTTGATGTCACTAAGCTACACTAATGCAGGCTGTGGCGGTGCTCTGATGAGTTGTGCTATCTTATCGAAATGTTCTACTGTGAGATACAGTGGTCTATGCGCATTTAGTTTGCATCACTTATAAAGTAATGCAGCTGTGTGCAGTACTCATCATGTCCTGTGTTTGCTTAACACTAATATTCTTTATCACTCCTCCTCTTGGGTACGAAACATTTTGCAGCAAGTTTCAAGTATGATGTTTAAAGAAGCAGTCTTGTTTGTGAAATCCGGTTTAACTGTCGTTTTAATAGCAAATTACTATTTGGCGTTTCCATAGAGCAAGTCACTAGCTTAGCCCATTGACACGGTGCTCTGACAAAAGCTAAAAGAGAAAAATAAGCTGCCCAGTCTTGTTCTAAGGAATTGTATGCTCATTTAACAAAGGATTTATGTAGCGGTTGCAAGTTTTGTTTATTTTCATATTTTGTATGGAACTACTTTACTGTATTCAGTAGCTATTTTTGTACTGAGCTTTACTTATGGAGTTACTAATGTTAAAAGGCTAAGTAGCCCAGCTAAACATCTACTGTGTTTGCTTAACACTAATATTCTATATCATTCCCCTCTCAGGGGTGTAACACCTACTTAAGTAAGAGTACTGTTACTGTTGTGATAATTTACTTGAATACAAGTAAAAGTAGTTGTAACACACCATGTGGTCCCCCGGGAGGAAGAAGGACGCTGGAGACAGGAGTGATGGTTGCAGCAAGCATTTTCATTTTATTTTCACACAAAACACAAACACAGCCATACAAACTTAATCTGACACTTTTCAGTGGTTTCCGGTGGTTAGATGATTATATATAAGGCTTTTTCTGTTTTCAACAAAGTAGTTCAGAATTCCTCAAAGAGTTGTTTAATTATTGTTTCTATTTTGGCTTTGCCTCTTAAACAGATTGCTTGACAATCTTGCATGTGTCAAAAAAACTAATAGATTAATAACTAATAATAATTTTTAGTGCCAGTCCTACAGCAAAGAAACTAGAGACTTTTGACTCTCTTTACAGTTGAACCATTGATGTGCAGTGGAGAGTGATTATTGAGAGTCCTCCTGAAGTCAACAATCATCTTTCATCTTATCAACATTAAGAGCTAGATTGTTGATGTCAACCTCTAGAGACAGTAACATCACAGGCTTTAAACTGTATAACTAAACTATACAATTGAATTATATCTCTCTGTTATTTCTTTGTTATTTCTTTGGTTATATTTCTCTCGTAATCATAGTAATTACAATTATTTCTACTTTATTTAGCAGTTAAACAGATAAACAGTCTCTCACAGTTACATACCCAAAGGCAAGCGGAGAGAGAGAGAGTTGCGGCACATGGTCATGCACCTCCAAAATTTTGTAGCTTGGCAGTCACCATGCGGCAGGCGCTTCATTCAGGAATTAATTTGAAGGGTAATTTGCTGCGTAGGTTTACCTCTAAAGACATTTATATGATACCTTCATCATCTATCACAGAGAATGCTGCAGTGACAGAAGCACTTATTATAAACAATACGTGTTTGTTTCAGGCTCACGTGCTGTCTTGCACAACACTCTGCACTCTGTGTATAAAAGACTCATCAGTGAAGAATGGCAGAAAATCCCTCAACAAATTTGTGCTACTTTGGTATTATCTGTGCCAAGAAGGCTTGAACAACAAATGAAATTCCATTAGAGAAGGATGTATTGGGTTTTGTGGCAGTTTCTTTTAATGTATTGTAGCGTTCATGGCTATTAAAAGCGACAGAGCTTTCGCACAAGTCGTGGTGCTTTATTAACAAGTTTGTTGTTGGCCACAGCTATGCTGTACATAAGCTCAGATTTTCTCTAACAGTTTCTTTAAACAGCACACATCTTACTCTTTCAGTTGTCAGCACTCGGCTTATTATCAGTTCTTCCTGCTTTACACACATATCCCCCTGAGAAAAACTAGTCCTGCCTTTACATTGAAAGTTAGAATATATTATGTATTTTATCCAGAATAACCCCATGAATAAATGCTGAAGAAATAAAAACCTTAACTGTCAAAATCATTTCTCGAAACACTCTGCAGTATGAACACTTCATTAGAGTTTAACCAGTCAAACAGTTCTATTTTTTCATAAAAATGTACAATAATTTACAAATTCATGTTTTATTTATTTATTTATTTATTCATTCATTCATTCAATCATTCATTCATTCATTCATTCATTCATTTTTTTTATGTGTAATTATTTTAGTGATATTGAAAAGTGAGGTGTACTCATTTTTGTGTAGGTAATGTGCTTTAGGTTTAAATATCCTCTCTTGTCCTTTCTCTTGTAGTGCTGTGCTTTCAACATATTTCCTGAATGAAAAACTGAACGTCCATGGGAAAGTTGGCTGTGTACTGTGCATCCTTGGCTCAACAGTGATGGTGATCCATGCTCCTCAGGAGGAGGAGGTTGCTTCTCTGAGTGTTATGGCAGAGAAGCTTAAAGATCCAGGTGCTGTTTTTAACATCTGAAAGCATTTCTGTCTACCAGACAGCAATAGCTATTTCTAATTTACACATGTTGATGCATGTTTCTGGTTATTTTTCTTTTTTGTCTTCTACATCTCACAGGATTTATCATTTTTGCCATCTGCATTGTTGTAAGCACCATGATCCTGATCTTCTTTGTTGTGCCTCATTATGGTCAGAAGAATGTGCTGGTGTACATCCTCATCTGTTCAGTGATTGGTTCATTATCTGTGTCCTGTGTGAAAGGCCTTGGTATTGGCATCAAAGAACTTTTTGCAGGAACAGCAGCGCTAAAAGAACCTCTGTTCTGGGCTTTACTTGTGTGCCTTGTAATATGTGTCAGCATTCAGATCAGCTACCTTAACAAGGCTCTAGACATATTTAACACCTCTATTGTCACACCTATCTATTATGTCTTTTTTACAACTTCTGTTATGGTGTGCTCAGCTATCTTGTTCAAAGAGTGGCTGCGTATGTCCACTGATGGAGTTGTTGGAACTGTTAGTGGGTTTCTTACAATTATCATGGGCATTTTCCTCCTCCATGCTTTTAAGGACACTACTTTTAGCTGGGATTCACTGCCTCTTTATTTGCATGGTGCCCCACAAGGCAGCGCATGGAACCAATCCTATATTGCCTTGTCAACCCATGAGATTCTGAGGGGTGATATGGGCAAGCTGACCCCAAGAAGTAACCCAAAGAGCTTCTCACCTTAGAATTCAGGTAGGAACAACAAGCACTCAGTACATGGCATGTAAAAATGCCATGATGCACTGATGTAAATTTCACTGATTTTGAAATGAGCATTTGCTATTTTTTTTAGCCAAAATAAAATTTGCAGGCTATTTTCAAATATAAAAATCTCCAGAAACATGGGGCTCCTGAGTGAAACACATGTGAATGGGACATTGCTAGTCCAGTCTTGTGGCTGGAAGGCCAAGAGAGTATAATTGGTAGAGTTGGCCAGGATGGGAATTGGCAATAACTGAATTGCAGATTTTCTTTTTTATTTTGTTTTATTTTCTAGATTATGTGAGTTTTTATTCCAGTCATATTTGCATATTTTTAAAAAAAATCAGAAACAAAGGATAACATTTGAGATCATTATGCATTGTGAATCATTTCCTAAATAATAATTGAACTAATTTGAACCAAATCTTTATGAGATCAGAGATGTACACTCCTACTCATTGCCCAGCTAAATCTTATATATCAATGAAAAAAATAGTTTTCTCATTTGCAAAACGTTTTTGAGCACATGGAATACTTAGAATATCATTTGAAAGTATTTTGCATTTTTAATGGAAAGAAAGTTTAATTAAAATATTTTATTGGCAGGTGTGACAAGGATTAAGAAGAATGCAGTCTGACAAATAGCAAATGAAAGCCCTGTACACTGCCATGAACGGCAAATTTTATTTGTTTATACAGGAAACACTCTTCTGCTGTAAGTGCTTTGAGCCTGCTATGGAAAAGGTCTTTTAATACCAGCACCTGAACAACACCAAATAAATTCTGTTTACTGTTAGTAAACCCAGAGATCATCCTGGGGAAGCCTCATTTCATCAGGTTGTGGTGTGGACTTTAATAACGTCAGAATTAAGCTGCAAAATGTGTGTAGTCTGGTTTACATATTTTTTATTTACTCTGTGGCTCGAACTTTTTGACTTGTTAGGCTCACAATGTAGTTTTACGGCTTATATTAGTTGGTTTGTGTAGTGGTACAGTCATTTATATATGAAGTACAATGTTTCATTGAAGCCACATGTATATACCACAGGAAATGTGAAATAAACCTTAAAATAAGTTTATCATGTCTATTACTGCCTATTTCTGTGAGTGGATGTACATAGCTTCTTTTTGTCCAGACATAACCAGTTAGGCTTGATTGCACTCTGTTTAATGAGAAATGCATTGTATTATGGCTTCACACCAAGAACCAAAAAGTAGTAGACCTTCAGAGTTTCTGGTTTATTTTCCAGGTAGGCACCAGCAGTATTGATGTGATATTAGAGAGTTTTTACTTCAAGTGTCCATCCTCTGAGCCAGTGTTTGCTAACCCTGGCCCTGGAGTATATGCCTGAACATGGATTAAAAACTCAAGAGGCCTGTATGATGTCACAATATGTAGGCTCAAAGACACAAATACACCCTTTGTTTTTAAATATTCTCATAGTTATTTATAGATGTTTTTTCAGAGCAGAATTAGATTCAGTGAATTGGACATTGCTCGCAGTAGTACGATGCATTGAACAGATCACTAGTCCATCTGAGCAGGATTATTTGTTAGTAAATTGAGGGTACATGTCATATCTGTGCCCAATTCTTGTGCACAGGTATGACAAGCTGATGTATGTGCTTTACATGGTACAAAGTTGATGATTACTGATAATTGCTTGCTGTGCACTTAATTATGTGGAAATGCTGCTCAATATGGATAAGTTTAAAACAGTTAAAAAAGTTTTAAAAGCCTTATTCAAACTGGATTAGTTTTTTTTTAAAAGCCTAATTCAAGCTGGATTATTATTATTATTTTTTTTTTTCCCATGGGAAGTCCAGTAATGTAATCTGTGTGTAATTTGACTGCACATTATCAATGGCAACTCCAAATGATGGTGCATAATTATAGTATATGTGAGGAAATATTCACTCAATTGTTGTGAATTTCAGCTGTCTTGTCATGAATTTGAAGATTAATATAATAATAATAATAATAATAATAATAATAAAAACAATACTTCGTTTGCAACCAGTGATTTTGGAGGTAGTACAGACCACTTTCTCTTACTGTTCTCTCTTATACACTGTTGTACTCCCATACCAGACTCATTTGGAGAAGGTCAACACACTTTCCACAATAGTTCTATAAAAGCATATCATACAATCTGTAGTCACACCAAATTTCTTAAGCTGTCTTATAAAGTTTAGCCTTTGATGAGTTTTCCACAAGACAGCAGTGTTGCTCTCTCACTTAAGAGATTAACAGATGGTTGTCCCCAGAAACCTAAAGCAGGCAACACTCTCCGCCTCCTTGCCATTGATGGTCAGAGATGGTAGGTCCACCTACCGTCTCCTGAAGTCAACCACCAACTCCTTTTCTTTTCAATAGTCAGGCTTAAGTTATTCACCCTGCTCCACTCCACTAAGACTTGCTATACCTGCTTTCTACTAGACAGAAAATCAAGAATCCAATAGCACGAAGACAGGTGAGTACCAATGCCTCTGAAGCTTATCAAAGAGTATGTGCATATGTGCCTGGTGCCTCCAAGTGTTGCAAAATGGAACGTAAGTAGGGTGACACAGCATCCTCAGCTGACCTACTCACCCTATATTCAAACTGGTATGTATCTATCCCAACATCAGAGAGATGACTACAAATCAGCAGAGATGGAAACAAGTCACTAAGTTGCAAGTAACAAGTCTCAAGTCTTCACAAAGTCTCAATTCAAGTCCTGAGTCAGTAAAGGCGAGTCTCAAGTCGAGTCCTAAGTCAATAGTCCTAATCTTCGGGTGCTAAACAAGTTAGTCTGCATTCTTCTGCTAATTTAAGGCCATAACACTGAATAATGGTAACAGTAGTATAGCCTTTTAATGACAGCATGTTAGTAGGGTATGGCTGTATATTAAATATCTATAATTATTTATTTTCTTTTACCCTTCCAACTAAAATACAAGATCCATGGTACCCAGATAACCATGACAGGTATACATAAAGAGGAGTGCACTACGTAAGAAAAGAATTCTAAAAGTACTACTGAACTTATATATATATATATATATATATATATATATATATATATATATATATATATATATATATATATATATATATATATATATATATAAAGGTGATTTTTGGCAATATTGGGTGCATAGGATTAAAAAAGCTAAACGTTTTTACCTCAGCCAACTAAAAATAACCACTAGTTTAGACAACAACAGAAACCAAAACGACCGAGCAGAACAAAGTTTCCAGAAAACACAGCAAAATGATGATGAATGTATGAAGCACAAGTTGACTTTTTTTCACCAGCAGCGTATTATTTGAATTTTCCGTTCCACCTTAAATGGTGCAGCAGTTACATTCCGCCGCCTGCTGCACCATTTACGGTGGCGGCAAATTCCAACATGAAGCTGGCAAAAAACAAGCCAGCTTCAGCCTCATTGTAAATGTTGCGCTTGTTTTACTTGCAGAAGCTGTTAAAATTGGTCGAACGGAGAGACCTGTGTTTCTTTTGTTTTGCTACCATGAGGAAAATGGTCAGTTTGCCTGTTAAGTTTCTCCAGTAAAACTGAAGTTTAGGTACTGATCGAGGGCTCATTGATGCTGTTGATGCTTCGCTTGTTTCCAGCTTAAGGAGGCGAACTTGAGCTTTAACGCTTCGCTTGTTTTCTGAAATAAAATAAACCGAGCATAAGGACAGTAACAGACATCTGACAACGTTGCTGTTTATTCAATTTACAGCAGGAAACTAATCCATTCACACGAAAAATAATCTGCGTAGAGAATCCCATCTGAAGTCAGAGGCCTCTCCGCGTTTCTTCTACTTTGATGTCTCGAGTCTTTCTGAGTCATGATGCTCAAGTCCGAGTCACTGGTGTTGAAGTCAAAATTGAGTCCCAAGCCTTTCTCTTCTTCTCTCGAGTCGAGTCTAAAGTCGTCAGATTTGTGACTCGAATCTCACAAATAAGTTTTTCAAAAATTTTCATAGTAACAAAAGTAAGAGCTATATGTCTGTAATCATTAAAACGAGTTACAGTGGACTTTTTAGGAACAGGGAAAATGTTTGTTTGTTTTTTTTATTTTTTGTTTGTTTTTTTTAATATAATGGAATCCGACATGTTTTTACTGACTGATTAAAAGTATATGTTAAAATATTACACAGTGAGTCAGCACAGTGAGTAATGTACCTGCAGCTTAGTTTTCCAAAAGTGCTCTGATTTGCAACAGTTTCTCTTAAACTGGCATATTTCCACATTCATCCATGGCTTTTTATGAGCACACAAGTTTTTCTTCCATTTGACTGGAGCAAGAATGTCAAGAGTTTCTTTTAATCTAGCATCATGATCAGAGATAGATCATTACAGGAGGGAGAGCTGTATTCGATGAACCGTTATAAATGTTTTTAAACTTAACTGTTTTTGCGTCAGTGTAATGATTTTTAAAGTAACTAGTTAATAAAGATCTATTTAACTGTTAGTCTTGTCTTTGGGTTGCAAAAAAAAAATATAAAAATGGAGATGCGCTGTGTTCTATTACCTAGTTTTATTATTACATCATTGTGATGTCGATTTGAATAAGATTGCTATTACAGAGGGAGCTTCAAGTTCAGTGAATTATAGAAGGTAAATAGCTTCAGCATTATTACTTCGCACACTTGTAGATACTACAAACATGGTAGATTTGTACTGGATTAAAATCATGTATCTCATCTCTAACTACTCAAGTTACAGTACCACTGCAGGTAAAAACTAATCCAACTCAAACAGGGCTATAGACTGAGCTGAGATTATGCAGATAGTAACCTATAAGATTTTCTGTTAGTTAAAATATATTGAACTGGTCACAACTCTCATAGCACCATTAGACAAAGGAAAATGGTCACTAACCTCAAAGCAGCACTTGATGCAGTGAACAAGTCACTACTATTAGAGCAGCTCTAGATTTTAGTGTTTTATTTCAAATACAATCACTACCATTAACCATGCAAATTCACTTGTTTTAGGTGTTTCCTGATTTCATCCAAATTTGGATCCAAATCCAAACATATTCCCAAGCATATTTGATTGTTTTTTTTTGTTTTTTTTTTTACAGGTCTATTTTCATTACCATTAGTAAAATAGGGTATTTTGGTTAGGTGGCCAACCAGCAATACATGTCATTTAAAGAAATGAAGAGATAAAAGCAGGCTTAGATCAAGACATATGATCTGTAAAAAAGTTTCACACCTGGTCAGTCATTTGATGGTAAGGTTTTGCACCAAATTATGAAAAATGTTTTAACTTTTTTGGTCAGTCATTTGATGGTAAGGTTTTGCACCAAATTATGAAAAATGTCTTTGGAACACTATTTCAATCAATCAAAATTTATTTAAACTCACTGAGGGAGACTCTCATTTACAATGTAGCCGAACCAATACAGAGATCAGGGATTGAGAAGATAAATAGTAAAAACATAACAAATGCTAAAAAGTAATAAAAATCATAGCAGTAAATAAAAAAAAAAATCAATCAATAAACCGTTAAAATTATAACAACATAGTAACTTAATAAATAAAATAAAATAAAGATAAAACATTGAAATTAATAAAAAAAATAAAAGATACAATAGCTTGGCAACATTAAAATAAATAAGAACACAACAATAAAAATTAAAACATACCAAAAATCACTTTAAAATATAACTAAAATCAAGTAAAACAGTTGCAAGCTGGTTGGAGGTGTTTAGAGACTAAATGTTTAAAATGTTTGTGACACCAGTGAGCAAAACTTTGGAGTTTCCTGAAATAATTTCCAGCTCCCTGTACCGTACTGCACGGTGCACTGTAGCTAAAAGCAGATCTTCCCAGTTCAGATGTATACACTATAAGTAATGCACATTTAGGCATTATGTACACTATTCAGCAATCTGCCATATTGTGTGTGATATCCTTGCGTACACCAAAAACTGGCCCATTCTGTCATCTTGACCTGCATGTAGAGATTTTTTTTTCATTCTTTTCTGTCAGCTGGGGATGTCACAATAAATATGGCAGCCCCAAAGCTTAAAATTAAGTTTAATTATAATCACATTATTCATTAAGATTAAGTAGTACTTTAT